CTCAGCAAAGGCATTCCCATTATGAAGAAAAGGAAATAAACTGGGAGTAGGAGGGAAAGACATTCTTTTTTTTTTATTCACCTATGGCCTAGGGATAGATGGGTCATAAAGTATCTTGCCCAAGTCCCAGGTCTGGGTGGTTAGTCAGTCTGTACTTTTAACCTCTGTTTTTGTAACTAATGGACAACTTGAAAAATGATGTACTAGTTCGTATCCTGTCAAATATTTATAGGGACGGGGTCCTGACACTCATTTTCCAATATGGAAACTGATATTAACCATCTAATATATACCAAAAAAATATAGCAGTCTTTAAATCTATTGGTACCTAAACCCAGATTTAATCCATACGCTGTACAGAAGCAAAAGCACTCAGAGCAAGGTTATTGCAGTAAAGCGAGCAGAACTATTAACAATATGCCATTTTCTGACAAAAAGCAATGTTAACTCCTGAAAGTGTCAGGAGTGAACAAAAATGCAGAAGCCTAGTAATAAATGCTGGTACATAATACAAATAAGCCTAGTGGAAAGAAAACAGAAGACAGGTTTCACAAACACAACAGCTTGAAATACCACCCTGACTATACAAATAATTTATCAAGGCATGTTCAAATACATTGGAACAATTTCAAGGCCCAGAACTGTTGCAGCATGTTGTAATTGAACAGAGAAGATGAGATCTCATAATCGTAACTTGAGACAGAGAGTGGGAGTGTGAGAGCTCTAATCTGCCATTCAAGAAATAAATGAACAGAGTCATGGCACAAAAAAAAAGATATCACTGGGAAGCTGCTAACGTAGCAAGAAACAGATCCCTCACTTTCTTAGTCCTCTGTTCTTTGTGCCCTTGATTAAAAAATTCAAGACACATAGGTGGCCATGCAGAAGTCTTAAGTAGAATTTATTATAAAGTAGATATAAAGAGTGTTATACCTTCAAGCAAGAGAGTAGGCAGTGCTATGAAGGCATCTGCACCCAGTGTGTGTATAAATAACTTTTTATGTACCCAAGAGTTATTTCTGGGGTACAAGGAACCAAGGTAATTAGACTTACCAGTTTACTTTATAAGTTACTTTGAAATTGCACAATGCCTTCCTGTCCTTTTTAGATGGTCAGTGTTTCCTCAAGAGCTCTAATCATTTAAGAAACTTACAAAAGAAATTTATGAAAGTTAAGTTCTTAATTTAAATCAGGTCCCAGTCCAAGGCAGGAATATCATTAAAGAGAATTTCCTTTCCTTCCCTGATATCATTGGGCTAATTCATCCAGGAATACTGTATGCCTTGTTCTAGAAACAGAGGCCCTGTGTCTTTGGATCTGAGGCCTAATAAATTATTATAAATGTATTATACATTAAGGCCTTCATTTCTCAACTATAACTGGTACAGCATGCTGTTGTGGACTTTTCATTTGTCTCTCAGCTAATGTATAACTGTGTGCCTAGTACTTGGAGTATATTCTTGTGCATGTTATGAGGTAGATTCAATTTTATCTTTTCCAAATGTTTCCCAGTGATCTCACCATTTATTGAAAAGTCCATTTTACCCTCGTGGTTTAAGATGCTACCTTTGTTGTATACAATATTATGACAGCTAATTGGGCCTAATTTTGGATATTAGATGTGAACATTGAAAGAAGCTGGTTGAAGGAGTAATGGAACTCTTGTATTATTTTTGTAGTGTTGCTATAAACCTAAAATTAATCCAAATTAAAAAGTTAAATACTGATTCCCACTACAGTCCTCAGAAATTTGGATTTAATCTGGGAGATAAATGAGGCAGAGTTTTAGATCCCTTCTGATGATTGTAATGTGCAACAAAAGTTGGTACTCACTACCTTAAACTCATTTCTTTAATGGAGGGAAACAGAGATAGATGCTCCAAAATAGCAGAAGATTCTGAAAGTCATATGTGTATGTGCTCACAAGTGTATAAAAATATACATAGAAAAAATAGGAAAGAAATGAATGAAAACGTTCACAGTGATTGCCCATGATTGACCTGCATGCTGGCATGGTGAATATTTTACTTCTTAATTTTTCTCTTTTTTTTTCTTTTACTTTGTAGCATTTTCTACACTTCCTATGGTCAGATAAAAATTGTACTTGAAAAAGTGATTTTTTTTTAAATTTGAAGCTTCCTGTATGGGAACAGAAAGCTAACTGTAGCCTTTCTGTCCATATTTCTGGAATATATTAAAATACTGGCCTCATGGAACTGCTAGAAGTCTTCAGTTAAGAATTTGTAGCATTTTTGCAATATGAAGTAGAGGAACATGTCTCAGTAAGCTTAACATCCTCCAGTAAGCTGGAGGATTGAGCTCTATTTGAGAAATAGATATTTTGGAAACATCAGGATGGGAGCAGAAGACCAGCACTCTGGAGGCAGCCCTTGTGATCTCCAATGCTTACCAATTCAGAGAGATGTTAGGAAGAAAAAGCAGGACATAGAGAAGGGAGCAGAATATAAATCCAGTGTCTGGCTAGAGTTGTGTCCTTAACTAGCTGTGTATTCACGTTAGAAAGCAGGTGGTTTTTTACCTTCAAACTGTCAGGTAAAATGAGGAAATGAGATCTTTGTAAAATTAGGAAGTAGATTAGATCAACACATCCCAAACATTCCTCTTGTATATCATCACTTACTGAGCATCTGTTGAAATACAGATAGTGGGGTAGCACAGCTGGGTCATGGTCTGCGTTTCTAGCAAGCTCTTGGCTGAAGCCAATGCTGCTGGTCTCTTCCACTTGAATCACTGAGAATCTAGACTGTAGATGAATGCAGTGGTTCTCTACCCTGGGTGCATGTTGACATCACGGGGAGTTTCAAAGAGATCAGTGCCTGCCTTCCATCCTTAGGGATTGATCTGGGCTGTGGCCTGGATTTTTGAGTTTTTTTACACACTGCTAAGTAGGATGATTATAATGTGCAGTCAAATTTGAGAACTGCTGGGCTAGAATTGGATAATAACTCAGGATCTAAAGAGTGTTTAATTTATGCTTTGCAAAGAACCTCTGCCCTGACTTGGCCAGATGGCTCACTCTGGCATACAGTTTAGAGACTGGAGGCTCAGTGATGCAGGCAAATTGTCCAGAGGAGTAGCAAAACTTCTCAATGCATCAACATTTGGATTGTATGACATCCTTGTATGTTGTTTTAGTATGTCGTTCTTAAACTTGCCTATAGGTTAGAAACACCTTGAGTACTTTAAAAATGCACTGATGTGTCACAGTGGCCTTATAGGGTGCTAGAAAAACTGTTTTGATCCAGGTGAGAGTCATATAAGTCTACACTGGTACATATGTAGAAAGTCACCAAACTGTGAATATCAGTGCACCTTGCTATATGTAGGCCACACTTTTGGAAGGAAACATGAATGATACTGATGCCTGTGTCCAGGGACCAAGACTGCAAGCCAGCTGGTTGGGAGGCAAGCCCAGGCACTAGCACTAATATACTTAAGGGAGAGGGGGACACCTTTTGTGGTGCTTGAGATTGAACTCAGGGCCTTTGCACTGAACTGTATTCCCTCCCAGCTCTTCTTTTATCTTTATTTTTTATTTTTTAGTTTTCATTTTTGAGACAGTTTCTCACGAAGTCAGTAAGTTGTCTAGGAGACTCAAACTTGTGATCCTCCTGCCTCACACTCCCAGAGTTCTGGGATTGCAGGCATGCACCACCATGCCTGCTTGGGCTGCGTGCTTCTAAGGCACATCGCTGCTGTGCCACTGCCTTATGTGCCTCCACACTGTGGATGGTGGCCTCCATTAGCATGATTGACAGGAAAAATCTTCATGGTGGAACCCAGTGGATGGAGGCCTGGGTTGGGGGGGCATCTAGCTTCTTCAAGCTCCAGATAAGCTGAAGAGTATTTAATTTACACTTCGCAAAGAACCTTTGCTCTGTCTTGGCCAGATGAGTTACAATAGTATACAGTTTAGAAACTGGAGGCTCAGAGATGCAAGCAATTGACCAGATGAATAACAAAGCTTCTCAACGCATCAACTTTTGCACTGTATGACACCCTGAAACTCAGGGGCTTTGGGGAGGCCTGTGGCCAAGTATGGACCAGACTGAACTAAGCCAGTGTTTTTCTTTATGATTGTGACCTGCCTGAGGTGCCTCCACCTAATATTCTTCTCCCCTGTTCCCCAAGAGAAGCTCCAAGAAAATACTCTTTGGAATTCTAAGTCCTTATCTAATACTGGGTATAGTAGAGGCTTCTCTGGGTGATAATTCGTTGTCTCTTCTAGTTGCGTCTTCTCCTAACATGCCCCAAGACTGTTAGATACGTAAAAGATGAGTTCTCACTCTGATGCCCAGGAAAATCACTTGAGAGTTTGGAAAACACATGTCCCTGGAACTCCTACACTCCATCCCAGGATCAACTGAATTAAATACTGAGTAACAGACCACAAAAATCTATTTGTCTGGCTGTCTATATTTTTTAAAGGTCTCATACATAGCTGATGTTGAGAATCACTAAGCTAAAGCAACATTGAGGCATAGCTGATTTACCACCCTTTGGCTGTAACTTGATTCATTTTTTTCATTCAACCAACATTTCATGGTCACATTCCATGTGCCAGTTACCAGCTATGCCAGGCTATAGCATAGGAGGTTGGTTGAGATAGATTTCTGGTGCATGGAACCAACTGGGTGATGGGGCATTTAATAGTTTCCTCCTCTATGAGTACATGGGAATGTAACAAGATTTCCTCCAGTGATTGATAAATGATAAGGCATAGTAGAACCTCAGAGCAGTAGTAAATTATTGAACCAGAACTGGAGATTCCAAAAGTATGTTAATTTGTCTCCCTGAAAATAGGTGGTGGAAGCAGATGAGGATTAGTGCCAGGGGTAATTGGGGTATGGAATGTCAGAGACCAAAAGTGGCAACCATGTCAACTCAGTGGTGTGAGATGGTTGGTTGCCAGAGGGAAGAGATTCATTCCTTTATAACTCCTGTGTGCTTTACGTGCATCTCTCTGATTTTTCTTTCAGTGATCTACAGGATTCCATTGACTGTCACGCTGGTCATCCACGTGGACCACCATTTTCTTCCAGCAATCCCATCCCAGTTACACCTCAAGCCACCATCTTTTCTCAGATTTCCAGTGCCTTCTCTTTGGCCGAACCCCTTAATCAAACCTCTGTGAACCAGAACACTATCTCTCTGACACAGGAGGGTCGGCTTCCGTCTCCCCAGCCTTCAGCTCCCCTACTTTCCAGCCCTGCCATTGATACGCCTGCTCAATCTAGAACTGTCTCTTCCCTGCTGCCCCAAACTAATCTTTCTTACACCCCACCACCTGCGAGGTCCTCGCTTCCTTCTCTCACCACGTCTGCCCCTATGAGTGACGTCACCATCAGCACAACCCCCGGAGAGGCAGGTAAATAAAAGGAGCCAGGCTGCTTCTGCAGTAGTTGGGGTTTTTAGCTACCTCAAAAAAAAAAAAAAAAACGTCAAAACATGCGGTAAGACCTTTCAGAAAAAGCAGGTAAGAGCCTGTTTTTTTCTGAAAGGGAAGAAACATTTGAAAGACCTAAGCATAGGTTCTCAGAGGCAGCAGGATCTGGGACAAGCATTTGGCTCCTTCTAACCTAGCCTATTATATACAAAGGTGGAAATAATCACTCTAACTCTCCTTGGTTAAAAAATGATGTTGTATGTGAGAATACTATGGAAACCGCCAAGGGTTCCCAGGTACAAAAAATACAGAGATAAAAGGAGAGAAAGAAGAGAGTCCTGGATACTCTCTGGAGTTTCAACTCATTGAACAAAAACCTCTTCTTTTCTAGAATTTGGAGGGGGAAAGGCAAAACCAAGTTTGGGATGACATTAAAGTGGAGCTCAGATTGTGGTCCCTGCCTCTTCCATCATGGTGTCAGCATCCCCAGGGGATTTGGAGCTTCTGTCAAATGCCTTCTTGTTTCTTCCCATTTGTGTTGATCTGTCTTAAATAACTTGTAATAAATATGGCCTTTTTAAAGGCAAAATTGTAGAACCATTAGGGCTTGAGCTGAAGGAAACTTCAAGTGGTTGACAAAGAACAGAAGCAAATTGAAATGCGTTAGTTTAGGCCTAATACAATGCCCCTCTTTCCAAGGCTATTCCAATTGACCCTTAGAATCAACACAATAGGCTTCACGAAGAAACATCCAGAAGGCCTCCTGCACCTGTGCTGCCTACTCCTAGGACAACAGAAGAGAAGCAACAAATGTGTAAAAGGCGCACATTGGAGCATTACCAGGAAGTTGTAGATTCCCTAGAAGATTGGTTAGATAAGATATGCTACCTCAATGCAAGGAATGTTATACAGTCTGTAAGTCATTAGAATGCAAGGACTGTTATACAGTCCATACGTCATTAGAACAGCTATACAGTTACTTTGAGGCATTTTTCATGTGTTGATGTGAAGTGCAAACAACCCAACAATAGGTAGTTTGCAAGCAATGTTTATAACAGTGTAAAAACACATGGATAAAGATTAGACAGGAATATACAAAATGAGAAATACGATGTTAATGGTGAAATTTAGAGACTTTTATTATTAAAAAACAGGTTTATGACATTGTGTCTCAATTTAAGACACTACAAAGTCAGACACAGCTGACAGTTCAGCTCTTGATTTCATTTCTTTTTCACAAAAAACCTTCTAGTGGCCCACATAAAATCCTGTAGACTTGATACCAATGAGATACAAGTATACTTGTGCTTATGTGGATATATATTAAATAAACTAATATACTTTTACTTTTTAAGTTAGGTTTACTGATGTATAATTTACATATAACAAAATTTTTCCAGGTCTATGGATAAATGAAATTTTTTACAGTACTGTACAGTTGGATAAAGCACCCACAGTTGTGCAACCATCTCATAATCAAGAATACAACTTTCCACTATCCCCAAAGTGCCCTTGTGTCTCTTTGAAGTACACACCTATGCCCCAGCCCCTGACCACCACTGATTAGTTCTATTTCACTAGTTTTATCTTGTCTAGAATGTCATATGATGAGAAAAATACAGTACTCATATGTAGACTTTTGAGTTTGGCTTCTTTCACTTAGCATAATGTGTTGGAAAATTGGAGGTCCATCCATGCTGTCGAATGTATTACAGTTAATTCTTTTTAATCACTAAATTTTATTCCACTGTATGGATATATGAAAGTCTGTCCATTCATTTTCCAGTTGATACACACTTCAGTTCTTTTTAGTTTGGAACTAATATGAAAAAAGCCAACATAAATATTCATGACCAAATTTTCTTAAAATGTATGTTTTCTTTTTTCTGGGGCAAATACCTAGGAGCGTGTTAGCCAGATCATGGAGTCTATGTGTGTTTATTTTTATTAATGATTTTTTCTATGATGTGTTCATGAAATGATTTGGCTCTTTGATACAGAAATTGTCAATACCAGCTACGTTTCTGATCTTGAGAGTCAAGTGTTCCAGATGGAGAAGGCACTGTCCTCAGGCAGCCTGGAACCTACCCTTGCTGGTGAAATGATAAACCAAGTTAGCAGACTCCTTCATAACCCACCTGCTTTACTGGCCCCTGTGGCTCAAAGGTATGACTTAGCAAACTGAATAGGTGCTGCGAGGGGACCTTCTAATGCTAACGATGCTGCTTATGTGATTAGTGATAGCCAAGCGTTTTGCTCCCAAGGACTAATTTCATAAAGACTTCTCAAGTTGCTACTCTGCAGATGTTGTTGAATGGGAAAGAAAGAGTGAGAAGAAAGTGAGAGTACTAAATTTAAACTGCCACTTATTTTTACAGATTGCTAAAAGTAGTCGATGACATTGGCTTACAGCTGAATTTTTCGAGCAAGACCATAATTCTAACCTCCCCTTCTTTGGCTCTGGCCGTGATCAGAGTGAATGCCAGTGATTTCAGTACAACTACTTTTGCGGCCCAAGAATCTGCAAATCTTAAGGTACAACCTAATTTCTTATGGGGAGAAACAAAATCATTCTCTTGTATATGATTATAGCCCCTGTTGTACTTCCTGATTGAGGTAATTACTGCCGTAGGATGAGATTCAAAATATTTAACATCCAGAACTGTGAAATCAATGCTAAAGCACTTGCCTGCCATTTTGGGTGCCTGATTTTAGTCCTCAAGCCCTAAAAGAAAAACAAAATGACATTGGCGTTGGCTGGAGTAGGATGTCAAGAGTCCCACTGTGCCCTCTTACCCCTTTATCAGATGGATTTTGAAAGCTTTTGGGGTTCTTTTGAGGCATCCGGGTGGTCTTCAGAGGACAATGCTAGGCAGCTGGGAGAGCAAGGCAAAGCAATCAGCTACTTATCAAGCCATTTCAATATTTTGACAAGTGTTATAACTACACTGTCCTGCTTCTAGTTTTTTCTCTCCACCTATTAAAGGGATTGTGGACTGGCAAAACCCAAGTAAAACCATGTTTTGTTTTTAAATTTCATAGTCTTCCCTTTCCATAGGGAGTAAAGCATGGGGTTCTGTGCAGACTTTACCCTCGCTGATCTCACTAACTTAGTATGTCTGCTGCTGGGGTCTGCCTGGGACCTGTGATTCTTACATTTTTTGGCTATTTCTGTGTGTCCTTTCCTCCTTGGAAGCCTCGTCTCCTCATCTCACATTCTGTCTTTACTAGCCACTAGAGAGACAGAAGCAGAAACCCATCTATACAGAAGTTCCACAGATCGAGCCCTTCTGAGACCCTCCGCCCTAGTTGTGTGCTTTCCACTGCCTTGTTATGCCAGCCCCAGACAGTTCTATTTCCCACTTGATTTTTCAGGTTACTCTGGAAACTGAGGCTCCTGAAAATAGTATTGGTGCTATTACTCTGCCTTCATCGCTGATGAGTAATTTACCAGCTCATGATGTGGAGTTAGCTTCCAGGGTCCAGTTCAATTTTTTTGAAACACCGGCCCTATTTCAGGTAAAGTTGCTGCTCATTGTGTATGGGTGGGGTTTGTTTGGAGGTGAGGGAATTTGACTCCTTTTCATGCTCACATCTTCTTAAGATTGCCACAAGTCAAATGAATTGATGAAATTCTGCAATTATTCATAGCCTAATGATACTGGTGATGATAACAAACAGTAACTGATGCATATTAGTTACCAGTTGCTAAGCACTATCCTAAACACTTAGAAATGTTGATTCTGATCTTTTCAACAATCCTGTGAGGGAGGAACTGTTGTTACCCCATTTTACAGATGGGGCAAATGGAGGCCCAGAGAAGTTAAGTAACTTGCTCAGAAACACACAGTTTAAGTGGCTTCATGTTATGTTTCCTTTAAAGATTCATGAGATCCTGTTGCATCAACCAGTGCAATTTAACTCAGTATTTAGAACATTATAGTAGAATAAGTTCTGCTTTAATTGTGATCCCTTGTGGAAGCCACTTTACTCTCTGACCTCCAATTTCTGACCTATGTGGTAAAATAAATAATGTGGACTAAATAGCCCTTAGTTTCCCTTCTAGCTTTAAAGCTCTCTAATGATATGTCATTTGCCCTTCTCATCTTGCTGATTCTTTACTGTGCTAGGATCCTTCCCTGCAGAATGTCTCTCTGGTCAGCTATGTCATATCATCAAGTGTTGCAAACCTGACTATCAAGAACTTGACAAGAAACGTTACAGTCACACTGAAGCACATCGAACTAAGCAAGGTGAGCAAAGGCTAGTCTGATCTGCTTGCAAACTGTGCTCATGAGACATGGCTTGGGAAGGGCAGATCTAGCAGATAGAACCTTGAACTCATTGGAGTAATGTGTACGACTAGAATCATGTCCACTTATAGATTTTTAACATGCCTAATAATTGACCACCTGATTTCCAAGAAGGATTGGTGCAAAAGCAAATTGTTATTAACTGCTGAGTTTCAGTGTTGTAGACCTGTAGCTACAGGTCTGATTCTCACCTCCAAAGAGAGACCATCACTCAACTTGGTTCGCATTGAGCTTCAGCTATAACCACACTTCTCAAAGTGTGCTCTGCAGACCCACAACATCAGCATCATGTGGGATTTGGCTAGAAATGCAACCTCTCAGACTCTTCCCCAGACTTGCTAAGTCAGAATGTGCCTTTTCAGAAGCTCCAAGGTGTTTCTTAGGCACAACTGATAATGTGACTTTTGTGGGACTCACTTACTTTTAGGGACCACATAAAATGTAACTCTCAAAAAATCAAGCAGAAGATTTTGAAATAAAAGATACTATAGTTTTTTCCAGTTGCCTTTCAGTTTTTCAGTTCAGTGAATTAGTTAATTAATTGTGATTTGCCTTTCTACTGCAGAATGATTTACCAGTGAGATGTGTATTCTGGGACTTGAGCAGAAATGGTAGGTTCCAGCCAAAACCTTTCCGAGGTCTTGAGTGGGTGAATGGGAGAAGCAGGGAGTCACTGGTGCCATGGCCTTGCTAATGGAATGTTATTCTCAACACCAACAGGTGGCAGAGGAGGCTGGTCATCTGATGGCTGTTCTGTCAAAGACAGAAGGCTGAATGAAACCATCTGTACTTGCAGCCACCTTACAAGCTTTGGTGTCCTACTGGTAACATGCTCATGCTCCATGGTCCTGAGTTCTGGGTCTGATGGGTGGATGGGTATCATATCAGAATGTCTAATCTAATGGATGATGTGGATAGATGATCAAAAGAGTATAATAGTACGGCAAAGTTATACCCCAATGAAATTTCTCCTCTTTTTCTCCCTCCTCCTCCTCCTCCTCCTCTTCTTCTTCAACAAAATTTCATAACAAAATAGTAAGAGAATAACAATAGTTAATACAGTTCATATTGTTAGTTTTAAAATTGTTACTTAGAACACAAGATAAGGGCATTAAAATTTCTCCAATAAATACTTGCACAAAACTTCCTTTTTAAAAACACTAAGAGACACTGATGGTATAACTTACTTGCATTTTCTCCTCAGTGCCACCAAAAAAATACATTCTCTCATAGCCCTGTCCGAGTGGATTTTCATTGTTTCTAAAACCAAATTCAATCTTTCCTCTTCTAACAAGCATCTGAAGGAAAATATTTGAATATGAAATACAGGTTGTATCAGTTTTCACAACTGTAGGACAAATTACCTGAAGTCACAATTTAAAGGCAGAAACATCTTGGCAGAAGGACGTGTGGTGCAGGAAGGATCCTTGCTTCATGGCAGCTGGGAAGCAGAGCAGGGAACACCATGAGAGCGGGAAGGATCCAGGGGACTTCTTTATATAGTCCCCAGAGTCTTGCTTCTGCGACCCACTCAGACATACCCAAAAGAGTTCTTCACTAATCTTGTAGACATTTCTTAATCCAATCAAGTTGCCAGATTAATGGTCAAGTGTTCTTCACATTGTATTTTCATATTTAATTTTTTTCCTTTAAATGGCAAAGGCAACTAAGGAGTTAAGTTAGAATGAGTGGTACATTGTTTAGTTTGCAATACATTCAAAAACTTTTACAAAAAATTTGACATAAATGATCTTATTTAATATTCCCAGTAGCCCTGAAGAATGGGACAATTTTACTGTCATTTTATTGAAATTAGAAGTCAAACTCAGGATTGCCCACAGTCACGGAACTCAGAGATGTAAAAGCCAGAAGCCAAATGCCAGTCGTTAAGCTCCTAGTCCAGTGCTCTTCCGATACACTACAGTGCAGTGATCAAGTACACAGTTTTAGAGCCAGACAGACCTGAATATAAACCTTGATTCTTTCACTTCTTAAGTGCATGATTTTAGGCAAATTACATAATCTCTCTGGGTCGCATTTTCATATCTTTGTCTGATGATAATTGTTCTGGCCTCCTTAGGTTCTTTGAACAGACTGTAAATGGGTACTTAGTACATTCAATAAACATAAATAATGACTTCTACCTCTTTAAAAAATGATCATTGAAATAAATAATTTATTTTCCAGGACTTCTCTCGGACATCATTACCACCTGATCAAATGATGGCTCTGACATTCATCACATATATTGGTTGCGGGCTTTCATCAATTTTTCTGTCAGTTACTCTTGTCACCTACATAGCCTTTGAGTGAGTATCCATAACTGGAAATTTGGATTATAGGACCCACTGCTCACCTCCATCTCTTAGAATTTAAGTGCTTTTCTTGACCTGCCCTGCCTTGTACATTCACCTAGCAGAGCACCTACGTAGGAAACTTTATGAGGCTTCTTGGCTTCCATGCTTGCTTCTTCTGCTCTCTAGAGCTTGCTAAAAGGAAGAGTTGGGTTTTGGTCATCCCTGTACTCCAGAGTATGCCTGGTAGGTAGTTCACATTTAGCATGAAATAAATGAAGGACACATATCCCCAAATCTAAGAATTTATGGTCTGAAATAGATGATAGCACCATGTAAAGTGGAACATTAATAAATATAAATTATACTGAGAAAACACAAAAGATTAAATATATTAAATGGTATAGGGACAAAGAAGAAGGATATAAAACCTCAATGCAAAAAATAATTGGTGAATGTGGCTTTGGATATTGCAAAGCAAGAGTGATGTTCCAAATAAGAACATCTAGGCTTATCAGAGGGTTCCTCTGGTCACTTTTTATGGGGATTTCTAACATATGCTATTAGAAAAGAAAGAAGTGGGCCAATATAATATTAACTAAATGGAACAATATGTAGATTCTGGGGTTACATTTTGGACACTGATCAAGAAATGTACAAATTCAGTTTCACTGATGAACTAAGATACAAATATGACTATAGTGGACCTTTGGAAATATGGGTAGTGAGACTAAATTACCATAAGGCTAACCATAACTAAGAATGTTTTACCAGATCTAATTTTGTACACATAAACATGTACATGCCATCAATTAGCTGTATTTTGCTATGCTATTATATTTAGCTGTAATTTAAACTCTCTTGTCCTTGATCTTATTTTAATTAAAAACATGATATGGGAATCTGGCCATATTTTGAAGTCCTGAGTATAGCAGCTTATTATATGAGAAGCAGCAGTAATTCTTCCAGAAGCAGTTAATGGGGTGGGTGGTCAGTTTGTTACAGACTATTGAAAAGTATGGATAAATAGAATGCAAAAGAGCCCATAGAAAGAGAAACACAAATTTTTCTCATATGTTTATCACAGATGAGTCTGTTTAGGTTTTTTTCAGTTGTTGGCTATAATGTCCTCCTAATACCCAGTTAGAAGAGAGAAGTTTTATGTATATAGACATTTACCACAGAATAAAAATAAATTGCTTTTAACTCAGAGACAGATTAGCAAATATGCTTATATAAGGGTTGGCTGAAAGTAATCTAGTTCTTTTCTTGCCCTTTCCTTTTAGAAAGATCCGAAGAGATTACCCTTCCAAAATTCTCATCCAGCTGTGTGCTGCCCTCCTCCTGCTGAACCTGGCTTTCCTCTTGGACTCGTGGATTGCCTTGTATAACACACGAGGCCTTTGCATCTCAGTGGCTGCATTTCTTCATTATTTTCTCTTGGTGTCATTCACATGGATGGGCCTAGAAGCATTCCATATGTACCTGGCCCTTGTCAAAGTTTTTAACACTTATATCCGAAGATACATCCTTAAATTCTGCATTGTCGGCTGGGGTATGTATATATTTGCTTGCACATTGCCTGGAATTTTTCTCTAAGTGTTCTGATATTTAATCAGGTAGAGGCATTATAAAGCAAGTCACACTTTGATAAATTTCTAAAACACCTTTTTACTGGGTGTACAGTGCAATATTACCTACTCTTTTTCCAAAACACTGTATTTTCTCTGGATTTTTTAGAAACATAAAACTCTGAGGCTGGGCCATGAATCCTCTTTATATCTCCAGCAACTAGAATTGAGGCTGGCACAGAAGGTGCCAGAAGGTACCAGAAAGTGGTCAATAAATTGTATGTTTGGTGTAGTAATGAGGCCAACTCTCAGTCTCCAAGCTCCTAACTAGCCTCATTCTGATTTGTGCCTTCCAGATATAAGGCACATATATAAGGAAGGGATTCTTAGAAGGACAGAGTGAGTGAATGTGCATGTAAACCAATGTAATGTCACTGCCACACTGACATATTTCAAATCATGTGACCTGTTGGTGATGGGTCACAAAGCCTTAGATTTCCCAAAGATGTAGGCTTCTTCCTCAGTGTAGGTGCCTCTTTGACATGATTATCCTGTAATAAATAATCCAACCACTGCTTGAACATTCCATTATTGGGGAGCTTATTTCCTTACAAGGTAACCAATGACCATTTCCCATGCTCCAAGATTTTGTTTTTCCATTATGTTGAGTTGGCACTGGTGGCACTTATCAGTGGGCTTGGTTTTGTTCTCTTAGGCAAAAAAAAATCTCACCAATTAAGCTGATATCTTTTCTTCAAGGGAGTCCTTTAGATAACCCACAAATATAATGCCCCATATTTCAATGCATTTTCATACAAATCACCCCACTAAAGGTAAGTCAGTGAGGTTAGCAAGGCAGTGATTGGCAATGCTGGGTGAAGAAATTAGCTCCAAATGATGACATGATTTACTCCCAATCCACAAGGCTACAGAATAACTGAGTCTGGCTTTCTGATTTGTTATGCATGTCCCTTCCACTGTATTCCTACCACCCTCCCCCACTTCCTCATCTTTTTGAAAAATGGTCCCTATACAACAGAATTGCAAGCTCTTCGCTACTCTTGTCATGTCACCATCTGTCATCATATGTTTGTGAAGAACAACAGAATAGCATTTTTCCTCTCACTTGTCCCAGAAATATAAGGCACTGCTCAAGGTATTGAGCATAGACTCCTCTTTAAAATTTTTTAAAACCCTTTTTATTAGTGTATATTTGCTATACATAGTGCTCACATTGATCATAGGAAATTTGTACCTGTACATAATACATCTTAATTCTTTTATCTCATTTACCTTCCCTCCCTTCAATTTTTCTTCCCTTCTCCATAAGCTTTATTTCCATTTTTCCTACTGTCTCTTTTTTAAAATCCCTTTTTCCTTTCCCTTTCCCCCTTCTTTTTTCCCCTTCCCATTTGAACATGTTTTTACTTCCCCATATCTATCCTTTATCTTGCTCTGTTTACCCTTAGGGTTTATCACACAAGAGAAACAATGTGATATGTAAACTTCTATGTCTTATTTATTTAACTTAAAATTATGGTCTCAAGGTACATGCACTAACGTATAAAAGTCTGAAGTTTATCTTTCTCTATGACAGAGCAGTACTCCATTGTATACAAATACCACATTTTCTTTATTCATCTGATGATGGGCATATGGGCTTCAAGATTTCGCTATTATAAACTGTGCTTCTGTAAACATGGATGTGCATATATCACTTTGGTATGATGGTTTTAACTATTTTGGAAAGATTGCTTAAAGAGGAATAGCTGGGTCAAATGGAACCTCTAGTTTTAGTTTTGTGAAGCATCTCCATACTAATTTCCGTAGTGGTTGTACCAGGTGGTTGGTTGTACCCACCAACAGTGGAGAAATATCCATATTTCCTGCTGCCTTACAGGCACTTATTATTGGTTGATTTCATGATAGGCACTCTTTCAGTAGTGAGATGAAATCTCATTGTTGTCTTAATTTGCATGTCCTGAATGACCAGTGATATTGAACATTTTTTGACATTTAGGTGGTGTTTGTACTTCTTCATCTGAGAAGTGTCTACTCATTTCAGATGGCCATGTTTGGGTTGAGTCTTTGAATTTGTAAGGTCTGATTTTTTGAGTTCTATATCTATTCTAGATATTATTCCTTTGTCTGAGGAATACATAGTGAATTTTTTTCTCATTCTGTGGGTTGTCTTTTCACTCTGCTGTTGATTTCTTTTGGCTGTGCCAAAGCTTTTTAATTTGATGTGATCACAATTGTTGATTCTGCGTAATATTTCCTGTGTGATTGGGATTTCATAAAGTATTTGCCTACACCTGTCTTCAATAATTTTACCTGTTCTACCAAAAGATTGTTTCTGTTTTTACATTTACATCTTTGATTCATTTTGATTTTAGTTTAGTGTATGGTGAGAGATATGGGTCCAAGTTTCATCTGTAGCATGTGGAAGTCTGGTTTTCCCAGCACCATTTATTAAACAAGCTATCTTTGTTCTACCAAAGGTGTTTAGTCCCTTTGTCAAAGGTAGCTGAATGTTCTTGGAGTTGTTTTTGCATCTTCTATTCTGTTGCATTGATACTTGGGTCTACCTTTGTTTTTGTTTTTTGCCAGTACCATGCTGTTTTATATAACAGTAGCTTTGTTGTATAACTTCAAATTGGGGATTGTGATCTCCTCTGCCTTTCCCTCTTTGCCCAGAATTTTTGCTATTCTGTGTCTCTTCTGGTTCTGAATGAATTTTTGGTTGTTTTCTCTACTTCTGTGAGGTAGGCTGTTGATATTTTAATTGGGATTTCATTAAATCTGTATGATAGTTTTGGAAGTATGATCATTTTCACTATATTGGTTCAGGCTATCGAAGAACAGGAGATATCTTTCTATTTTCTGATATCTTCTTTGATCTCCTTTTTCAGAGTCCTAAAATTTTCAATACAATGTCTTTCACTTCCTTCATTAGATTTATTCCTAAGCGTTTCATTTTTCTTGATACTCTTCTGAAAGGTATTATTTCCTTAACTTCTCTGTCAATGAGTTTCTTATTCATGTACAGGAGGGCAATTGATTTTTGACTGTCGACTTTGTATTCTGCTATACTACTGAATTTGGTTATTAATTCTTGGAGTCCTTTGGTGGAGTCTTTGGGGTCTGCTATGTAGAGTATCATGCCATCCACAAATAGTGACAATTTAACTTCTTCCTTTCCTACATTTATTCTGTTTATTCATTTCTGTTGTCTAATTGCTCTGGCTAATGTTTCCAGAACTATATTTAACAGGAGTGGTGATAGTGGTCATCCTTGTCTTATTCTTGATTTTAGAGTAAAAGCTTTCAGTTTTGACCATTTAATAGGATGTTGGCTATTGGTTTGTTATGGTTGGCTTTCAACAGATTGAAATAAAGACCTTCTATTCCAATTTTCTGTAGGATTTTTTCTTATCATGAATGAGTGTTGGACTTTCTCAAATGCTTTTTCTTCATCCATTGAGATGAACATGTAGTTTTTGTCCTTGTTTCTGTTACTGTAGTGTATAACATTTGTTGTTTTGCATATGTTGAATAATCCCTTCATCACTGGGATGAACCCTACTTGGTCAAAATGTATGCTCTATGATGATTTGCTGCATTCTGTTTCCCAGTATCTTATTTAGTATATTTGTATCTATGATCATTAAGGAGATTGGCCTGTAGTTCTCTTTTCTTTAGTTGGGTCCCACTCTTTAGTTGGGTTTTGGTATCAGGGTAAGGCTTACTTCCAGGAATGACTTTGGGAGTACTACTTCTTTTTGTATTTTATGAAAGAGTTTGAGGAGTAATGGCATTAGATCGTCTTTAAAGTTCTTGTAGAATTCAGCAGTAAATCCATTAGAACCTGGATTTTTCTTTTGTTGGTAGTCTTTTTTAATTCTTCAGTTTCATTAACTGATATAAGATTATTTAGAATTTTTATGTCTTCTTGATTCAGCTTTGGTAATTCATACGTGTCTAGGAATATGTCCATTTTTTTCTGAATTTTCTACTTGATAGAGTACAGATTCTCAAAGTAGGTACTAATCATCTTTTGGATTTTTGCAGGATCCATTGTCATTTCATCCCTTTAATTCCTAATGTCATGGATTTGGGTCTTTTCTTTCCTTCTTTTGATAAGGTTAGCTAAAGGTTTGTCTATTTCATTTAGGCATTCAGAGAACCAACTCTTCAATTCATTTATTTTTGTATTGTTTTCTTAGTTTCAATTGAATTTAATTTCTACCCTGATCTTTACAATTTCTTTCCCTGTGTGAGCTTTGAGTTTAAGTTTCTCTTCTTTACGAGACTTTTGAGGTTCAACATTAGGTTATTTATTTGAGCTTGCTCTGTTTTTTTTTGTTTGTTTGTTTGTTTTGTTTTTGATGTGGGAATTCAGTGTTACAAATTTCACTCGTAAGACTGCTTTCCTTGCATTCCTTAAGTTCTGGCATGTTGTATTGGCATTATTGTTTAATTATAGAGACTGTCTAATTTTTCCCTTAATTTCATCTGTGACCGATTCATTGGTTGTTCAGGAGGTATTATTTGACTACAATGTGTTTATGTAGTTCTTGTGGTTTCTTTTGCCATTGATTTCCAATTTCATTGCGCTATGATATGATAGTACGCATAGGATAATTTCAGTTCCTTTGCATTTACTTAAGCATATTCTGTGAGTTGATATGTGGTCTATTTTGGAGAAAGTCCCACACAATGTGTATTCTGTTGCTGTTAGGTGAAACACTGTATAGATATCTACTAGATCCATTTGTTCAAAAGTTTGGTTCAGCTCTGACACTTATTTGTTAATTTTTTGTCTATCTATTTGTAACAGTGGAGTATTGTGGTCTGCGATTGCAAGTTTATTAGTGCTTTTATGCACTGGTATATGATTGTTATATCTTCCCCTTGGGTTGTTCCCTTTACAAGTATGTAATGACTTTCTTTGTCTCTTCTAATCGGTTTTGAAATCCAATTT